CCGCCCCCCCAATTTTGATATGTATTTTTGAATAAAATGCTTATCTGGAGTTATTAGTTCACTTTGTAATTTATCAGAATACATTTAGTTCTGTACATAGCTTGAGCTTTTTTACACTCTCAACATTCAAGGTTTTCTTTACAGCGTAAAGAAACATAATTACTCAATATCTATTATATAACTTTACCAAGTCCGTTAAAAACATGTTTTGCGAAACATTAATGTATGTCACCGTGCACCGTTTTAGTAATATAAAAACCACAAATTTGCAATGTCTCTCCATTTTTCGCGGACGTTAATGTAAATAAATGACAGTCGAACATTTTTCAGATCAAGAGATCGTTCAAAGTCTAAGTCTAAGTCAAAGAGCAAATCCAGATCTCGTTCTAGGTCAAAGAATGACAGGTCAAAATCTAGATCTCAATCAAAATCAAAAGCTAAATCACCCTCAAAGTAAGTATAGAAGCAGTAGTCTATAAAGTAAAAAAGATTGTGTTTGTTAGTTTAGAAATATTAATAATAATTCGCGTATTTTTGAAATTGAGAGGTAGAAAATTCCCGCTATAGTTAAATAAACATCTTGGTAATTTGGAATTAAAACTTGCCATTATTCGGCTTAATGTGTAATTCTAATGCATTAAAAATCGTCGAATGGATTTATTTTAATGCGCCAGCTTTCGTTAACGAGTATCGACATACGATAACAGCCTCGCATTATTATTAAATTCATTATTTTGGAAAGACGTGTTATCATTCACTAGCCTTCGTGTTCTCTTTTTGGTATTACTCCTAATAATACAATTTCAAATACGCCCAAACAACTTCACGAGTCACGATGATTTTATTATATAGAGAATATTGAGAACATTTTGAGATATATTAACATTTTAAGCTCTGACTATAATTTCTCTTAAATTGCGCGTCCGAAAATTATACGGTCGCGCTTGGTGAATTGAGTTACTTATAAAAAAAAAAAAAAAAAAAAAATTTTTTTCTTCCAGAGAAAGATCGCGAGAGAGTCGTGAACGCTCCAGAGGTGACAGGTCCAGATCACCTTCAGAAAGTAAACATAGCAAGAGTCGTAGCCATTCTCCATCCCCAATGAACGGCGACAAGTCGCCAGAGAAACAGAAAGATGATTGAACTGTCGATGAGCCATTGAACACTTGACTTGGAAAAGAAATAGTTTCTTTGCCGATTTTTTACATTTGAAAAAAATTATATACATTTCAAGAACCCAATCAATCACTCTTCGCACTCGTCGATATCAGGACCTAATCTTACGCGCGAATTTCTACTTTTACTTAATTATTAATTATTACTAATTACACAATGTTTGTTATCGTATTTTTGATCATTCTCTTTTCAAAATATGCATTTTTGAAAGCACGTAAAATGTTTTTATAAAAAATGGTTGATTACAATGCTTACCGAGTTCAAGGCTATAAAATAAATATAAAATAATGTGTACAGTAATGATGTATTGACTCTTGTGCGCTGCTCGGGTTGCATTAGATCTTCTGTATCAATGTATTCCGATGTGTGTTGGCAAGTCAGAAAAGTAAAATGAAAATGTGTGAAATAGTTGATATAAAATGATTTCTAAATTGTGAATGATGGTATACTCGCTATTTTACATTAATTATTCTTATCACACTGAAAATTTATTTTGAAATATAATAATTCTTTTATAAATACAAATATCCGTAAACTATACAATAACTGCGACGGTAAATATAAACAACAACAACAACAACAACAACAACAAATCTAGATAATAGCGTGCAGCAATCGCAGTGAATTCCTAATTAAATTGATTGTCATAAAAAGAATAATTATTATTATTTTTTTTTTTTTTTTTTTTTTTTTTTTTTGTGAGGCTATCCCTCCATATCATAAGGAATATCCTGGCTTTTTTGTATATATCCCTATTGCAGTACTTTAAGGAATATTATGTGATGTGTATTAAATATAGTACTAAGTCTTACTGTCATGAATAAAAAGAGAGAATACATACATTGAATCGTGGATTACCTTACAATTACTATATTTTTACAAAGTTCAATTAGGAAATGAAATCACGTAATTATAAAATACTTTTCCTTTAATGCAAAGTTATTATTATTTTTGTTATTAATTTTTTTTTCTTCCTCCATTCGAAGGATTTGTTGGACGATAATTTGGCTAAGCAGCAAAATTTGTTTAAAAATTCAACATTTTCCTTGGAAAATTAATATTTTAATTAATTTATAATTATTATAATAACAGTAATAATGATAATAATAAAAATAAAGATAAAGATAAAGATATAATTTTCTTTTATAATTTTTAATTTGGATGTACTTGAATATAATTAGTATACCAATTTTTTTTTGTTCTAGATCTAAATAAATATTTACTTGCATTCATTTTAGATTAATATAAATTTAAGTATGTTTTATAAATTTTCTATGATTTTCCCTTTCCATAAATTGGAAAACAATTTAAAATAAAAATAAAGTGTAAGGAAATGATCAACAAAACAATATTTCAAATTTTGTAGACTTATTAAATTAGTATATAATGGCAAATCATTTGCAAGCTTATATTGAAAGAAATTAAATAAATGGAAAGCAAAATTTCTATATAAAGTAATTTGTCCTAGTTAGAAGTATGTTTGGAAAAAAAAAATGTTTTAATTTATTATGAATTGTACGTTGTTCAAAAATTATGTCTTAATATTGAAAATAAAAACGTTTTCTTATTATTTTTAATCGTATTTTCCAAGTTTTCTGTTATCCAGCTGCCATTTTAGGTAGAAATCGACATATATGATTATTGAGTGAAATTTTCATTTAAAAATAATATGCAATTTTTTTCATTCTACTGACAAATTTATCATTTTTGTCCGACGCTGTGAATAAATGGGCTTTCGTATTTAAAAAAAATACTTTCTAAAAAGAGTTTCATTTCGATATACATTTGTATTTGCATCATATTTAAGCAACAATTAGATATTAAATGGTTAACAGTTGACAAATTTAACGATCCTTTGTTTGCGCTTATAAGAATAATGATTTTATCGAATTATTGTACATATTCCAAAAAAAAACAACCTAAAGAGAGGAAAAATGCATGTAAAATTTTGAATTTACAATCGAGTATTTAGTATTTCTCGTTATAGTTAGTTGATTTTTGTGCATAGAGGGCACTATTAAAGATTGTACCTTGATCGTAAAGTAAATTTTTTAAAATTATTTACAATTATACATCGTTCGTTAGTAATAAACGGGTATAATGTAATAGTCGTGATATATTTATTAGATACGATCGGGATTACTACGTCCTCCTATTGAATATTTCGTATTTAAATAATATAATTTTCAAAGATACATTGAAATTAACTGGGTGAAGTGTAACGTAATGGTGGTAACAGTTTTTTTTTTCTAGAATTCCGAACAATCGATTAAAATAATATCGAATCTTATGATAGTTTTTTAAATAGTAATGTTAATATGAGAAAGCAGTCGCGCTAGTAAAAGCAATTGTACTTCATTTCCATTGTCGTCTTCTCATCAGACTTGAAAATGTATGCTATAAGTGGCGAAAAGGAGGGAAAATTATATTACCTAAATGCGGAGTAGAAAATTTTCAAAAGTAAGAAAAAATGGCCGTTGTCATTGTCTGAGGTGAGTATAGTAATGAAAAGCGGCAGCGCGAGAATTTCAATAATAACATCGTGACAATATATCCTACACCGTTTTAATGGCTAATGAATAATTAAAATTATCTGGAGGTAAAGTTGTAGGAATTTTGCGCCAAGGTGTTGCCACTGCGGTTTGGTGATTGCGAGATCGAGTAGCGTTGCATTGATGGGACTAATAATCAATTGCCAAGTAATGGATATCGATCAAAGTTTCTCCCCAAATAGAAGACATCGCATTTGCATTGGCATTGTATTTTTATTCAACCAGCCAATCGGCCATTGGCATGATTTTTTAATCTAACCAGCCAGCCACGATAAGTAAGTAATTAGAGAAGTAACTAGCAATTCTAGGGATTATAAACTAGGAAAAGTGTGAAGAGAAATGGGACCACCTCGTGTTACCGAGAATCGTGGAGTGGGAGTAGCAAGAGGTCAGAGCACTCGAGTCGCCTCGTCCGCCGGTACCTGGTTGTCGGAGGGGGCACGAGAAACGAGATTTTCCCTCCTGGAGCCGTTAAATCAGTGATGATTATATTCATCGCTGCATGTCTTTCGACTCGCTAGTTGACGCGAGACTCGGTAACAGCAACAGCTCGACTTCGCTTCCTTACATACGCGTAATAACACGATCGAGTGCAACGAGCGTTCTAACGAGGTTGTATTGTTTATTGGGAAAACTACTGGTGATAGCCAGCCAGGCTTATTGAGAGCGTATTACGTATTTGGTTGTATCGTTTTCGAGTAGTGCGACGGCAGTTTCTCTTTTACCAACGAAAATGAATGACATGTTGGAGAAAGACCTTGAGGAGTACGATCCGGAACTTTATCGGATTATTGCTCAGGAGAGCGAGAGGCAGAGATTGGGCCTTGAGTTGATAGCCAGTGAGAATTTCACCTCTCGAAGCGTCCTCCAGTGCCTAGGCTCTTGCTTGCACAATAAGTATAGCGAAGGTCTGCCAGGGAAAAGGTATTATGGAGGTAACGAGTATATCGATGAGATTGAGATACTGGCTCAGAGGAGATGCTTGGAAGCCTTTGGTTTGAGCCCTAGCGAGTGGGGGTGTAACGTTCAACCGTACTCTGGGAGTCCAGCAAATTTTGCAGTTTATACTGGCCTCTTGGAGCCACATGGTCGCATTATGGGCTTGGATCTTCCCGATGGTGGCCACTTGACCCATGGCTTTTTCACAAATAACAAGAAGATCTCTGCCACGTCGATTTTCTTCGAATCCATGCCTTATAAGGTTAACCCGGACACCGGTCTCATCGATTACGATCAGCTTTCTTACGATGCCAAGCTGTTTAAGCCTAAAATCATTATCGCTGGTGTCTCCTGCTACAGTAGATGTTTGGATTATAAGAAATTTAGAGAGATAGCGGATGAGAATAATGCTTATCTCTTCAGTGATATGGCACATATAGCTGGCTTAGTCGCAGCTGGTATTATACCATCACCGTTTAAGTACAGCGATGTGGTATCGACGACCACTCATAAGACACTGAGAGGGCCGCGTGCTGGAGTAATATTTTATCGGAAAGGGATAAGAGATATTAGGAAAAATGGAGAAACGGTAATGTACGATTTAGAGGACAAAATTAACCAAGCAGTTTTTCCAGGCTTGCAAGGTGGTCCTCACAACCATGCCATTGCTGGAATAGCCGTCGCTATGAAGCAAGCTACCACACATAATTTTTTTAAGTATCAAGAGCAAGTGGTGGCCAATGCGAAGAGACTGTGTAGTCAGCTACAGAACTTGGGTTACAAAATCAGCACAGATGGTACCGATCTGCATATGCTGCTGGTTGACCTGCGTTCTAATAATCTTACGGGATCTAAGGCTGAGAAAGTTTTGGAAACAATTTCCATAGCGTGCAATAAAAATACAGTCCCGGGTGATAAGAGCGCTCTTAATCCTCATGGTTTGAGACTTGGTACACCAGCATTAACAACACGAGGTTTAAAAGAAGAAGACTTTGATCGAGTTGCTATCTACATTCATAAAGGGTTACAGTTGGCAAATGAGATAACATTAAAATCTGGACCAAAGCTTGTAGATTTTAATAATGTCTTAAAAAGCGATGCTACGATTCAACAAAAAGTAAACGATTTAAAAGAGGAAGTGGAAAATTTTGCAGGCAAATTTCCTCTACCTGGACTTTTTTAAAGGATATTTTATAATATACATTAATCCACAATTTATCTATTTTTCTACATAATATTTGTATTGGTTTTTTTTTTTTTTTTTTTTTTTAAGAAAGATGCTATATTTTAATAAATTTAAAAAAAAAAAGATAAAGTGCTTAGTTTTTTTTTTAAATATCAAATAAGCTAAATTAACAACATATATATTTCAATTTACAATTTAGGCTAATAATTTTCAATACTTGCACTGCAAGTTAATCCTTCGTTTGTTAATGGTTTGAAATTGGAATTTCAAATAATATTGATACGTTTGAATTTACGCAAACATAACAGTATTAATGGCGTTAATACGGGAAAAGTATTTTTAATTTATTTTTATTCCCCGGCTTTTAAAGAAATTTTTATTTTCATAAACATGCCATTGCAATATGATAACTCGCTGAACAGAGGCACAAATCTCAAATTACTTTAGATAAATTTATTAGTCAATATTGAAGAACTCTCGATTTACACTTACGCATATGCTACAATATATCATGAATAGACTGTTACTTGGCCATGATAAATGATACAAAGTCGTGGGAGATATATTCAAAATCTTAATGCGGTATTCGATATTCATTCCCTAATGATGATTAATCTTACTCCTCATATTGGAAAAATGTATGTTCTTGCTGCAACAACAATTATCTTTTATGATAATATTTCTTAGATTATCCAAGACAATATTTAGATAATATATCAACACGTGCACTTGAAATTATCGAAGATTCGAATTAATTCGGCGTTAGTATGAAAAAATTAATCGCATCACTTGCGAAGTAAATTTTACAAAACTTACTTCACCCATAACTTCGTAAACATCAGCAGAAGAAAAAACTACACAATATTACTGTCTATCGCTAAAAAATAATCGATCGCATCGTTAGATCGATTTACTCTCAAATTTATCATATAACTGGAAATATAAATATTATATTAAATTTTAACTCGACTATCATTAATACGATTAGAAATATAACAGAGCTTGACAAGATTTGTTTTATGTTTATTCTTTTTTTTTAATTCTTCCGATATATTCATTCTCGCAAGAAAAATCTGCAACGACTTTCTAAAATGCCAACGATTTATTAATTGAATAAATATTCGAAATGAAAGAATCGAGGGGCAAAGATTGTTGTGCAATAGACTTTCTTGGCTTAGAGTCCGTGCATGTTTAAAGATAAAATTCTGCGAACGATTTTGTTGTCTGATTTGACATTGCACGTGATTATTGCATATACTATGGCTTGGACGGTAAATCATAATGGAAACTGAATAACCGTGAGAAGTCGAAGACTCCCCCTCGGTTAATGTATCTATACAATTTGTATAAAGTGATTTAGATTGGCGTTTAAATTTCAGTTTCAATCACCATTGATTTCTCATGAACTGAAAAACGAAGAAAATTGAATAAAATGATTATTTGAGGGAGCGCAGCATTTTTCAAATTCGAATTTTATTGTGTTACGAGCTTCAAATTTCAGAAATCATGATTTGAAAATCGAAATGACATTGGAATATTCACTTTTCCTGTTGGATTCAACCCCATTGGGATGACAATGACCATCGTTATTAATAATTAATTGGCCGTGACTCTTCATAAAAGTACGCATCAAACTTTTCATAAAATCGTTGCCTTCTAGAAGCTACGACGTATGCATTCGAAGGCTTCGGAACCTGTTTCATTATTTAAAAATCGACCCTCCTTCATTTACAAATCTAATATTTATGCTTCAGTGCCTTTCGAAGGATCGAGTAAATACGTTGATTAGACACACGTACACACGCGCGCGAATTGTCTGAAATGCAGAGCATAAGCAGATTGGAAGAAAAAAAAAAGAAAAAAGGAAAACAAGAAGAACAAAACAAACAACATACCTTCCTTATATTGCGTGAAGTCGGTAATACGTAATGGGTGTCGACTTTTCACTTTTACAATATCAAATTGTCAATTTTATGCCCATCTACTTGTCTTTTAATATCTCCCTACATTTAATAATTTGTATAATCCTTCGAGTGATTGTGCCAGACACTTTTAATGCGTGTTTTTTTACATTTGAACGGGAAATTGTTTAATTATGTAGATGAAGGGAGTGTCACTAGTCACGTGTGAGTGAAATAATTCGATTAGTTAGTAGCAATGACAGAAATTGCAATCGTAACATTTTCATTTAATTATTATAATATATAATATATAACGTTAATATTTTAATTTGTAGCATTCGTTTAATGATAAAATAAAGAATCTTATCTTATATTTTTGAAAATAAGTGTCAGCTGTATGTCGAATAAGGAATTTATTTAATATAACACGTTCTAAAACTTGATGTGTTTATATATCTTATCTTTATTTTAATGGCTTGCAGTATCCTCAATAATTAATTTCATCCCAAAACTAACAGCCAATGCCATTATAAATCTGGATTAAAAATTTCTTAATTGATTCGATTTATAAATATTCGAATGCCAGTAATATTAATAATAAGGATAGATACGACAATTTTGCTCTCAAACTCGGTCTCAAATGCGACTTTCATATTTTTGCTAACAACGATAATGCTAAAATTTCGCACGAAAATAATGTTTAGAGGGCTATCGATATAAAATACAACTGTACGTGCTATTTAACGTTTGTAGCAACATTCGGTAAAGCGTAATTGTGTTTCATTATCTAAACGTTACACGCGGAGAATTAAAAATATCGATATTAAATCCTAAGTTACACCGGGCGCAAAACATTTTAATTGTTTTGCTATCTAAACACTAGACTTGGCAAATTAGTAATTATCGATTATACGACATGAATAAATGCGTATGTTATTAATGCGCCTCGATCGTTCGATCGTAGCTGGTCGTACGCCGGGAATTTATCCAATTATGAAAAAGTCTATTAAATCATTACTAGTTGTCATATAATAATTGTACAGCCGAGTTTAATATATACTGTATAACAATAATTATTTTTATAAAACAAGAAGAATTAATACAGCCCAGAATTAATATCCGGTGCAATGCCTTACGTTAATAAATTAATAATGATTATAATTTACGTTAAGGAGGGATGCTGCCATATCGATAACAACTCAAAACGAGGCAACAATTAAGAAGCAACCGTTCCTTGCTTCCTTGACATTGCCTAATCGGACGATGCCTTCGGACGACGAAAGAAATTTATATCGTCATACAACAGGCGAATGGACAAATGTGCATCGAGCTTTAAGCGTCTGGAACTTCGCAATGTATGGTTTATTTGATATTTATGTATTGCATTCAAGCGCGAGCTCACGACCGCGAAACGCTCCGACGATCATAGATAATAGCGTCCCAATTTTGCTAAAACAGCACATTAATCATCCTTAATGCTTTATTTCACAATGGAACTTAATTTCCAAGTTTAATAATTGGCTTTTAAGTTGTAGAGCTATTATTGCTCGACACAACTATAATTTAATCGAGATACTAACGAGATGAATAGCTTTACGAATAAATATCATGCCATAGGTTACTTAAATTCCAACAAAGCCAAAAGAAATATTCCAAATGATCTGGCACTTGTGCATCCCGTATGCACGACAATTTACGGACGATCGTAATCGTGGTCCAGCGTACGAGACGAGTACGTCCAATGCACACGACACGGAACATGGATAACAAATCGTTGTGAATCACCTCCCCATAGTCATTTATAATCGATGTGTTTTTTTTCTTTCTTATCTCTCGGCTTATTTAGATGCCAAGTCTGTCTTCGTCACGTAGACGAACCCGTTTGCTCTAGGAAGCATCAGTGTTATATACGATAATGCACCAGCAACGATCAGCTGCTTAAACAATATACAATAGGCACTTGACGTGGAGCGTTCGATATTTTATACGCCTCGTACGGCTATTAAAGTGCCATTATGAGAAAAACGTCTTATCCGCTTGATTATATAACTCAGTGAAGGAGGAAATATTCACATTCGCAAGTTTATTTCTTAAAATCTATCCTCTCCTATATTTTATTCGTCAAGCTTTCCCATCTTATCTGCATGCAATTGTACCGCGTCCATATAAAATAAATACCAAACAATTGCACTTTCTCGAAGTGTCGCTTCAAGTCTGCAACGCTACGATGGGCCTATGATTATTAGTGGACAAAATTATTAAAGCACATGTACGAGTTGCCCAAGGGGTGCATGACAATCCTCGCGAAGCGCAAAAGTTTTTCATAACAAAATGCCATACAATAGGCATTGATATCCTGAAATAATTTAAGCGATACAAGCTTAAATCCATCCACTCGTCCTCTATTTGTCTCGATTCTATCTACTTCGATCTCTTTTTAATCGAACGGGAAGGCGAAGAGGACAAGAGCCGTGGTGGACTGCCCCTGGGCCCTCGTGCTCCGACCACGACGCGAATAATATAGTAAAAAGCAAACAAAATGAGGAAGTAGAAAATGGTCCGTAACACTTCTAGCATAGTTTGAATAAATAATATCAAACTCGTTGATACGTGATCAGCTTCAGCCTGCCTCGGTCCTTATCCCTATCCCCCTTTCACTCTTCTTACCACAATCAAATCGCCGCTCGACGTCTGCTCACTGTCTCATGGCCGGTGATTGCCTGTTTTCTTTAAGATTTAAAGGTTAGGTTTTTTGTTTACATCTACGAGCGCAAATCGGTGGAATAGGAACGACGACTTTTCTCGATAAAGCATTAATAAAAATATGAATAAATCTCTGACCATCTATCGAAATTTATAAATTACAAGGGACGGTATTTATTATTTGTGTAAAAGTGATTGGTATTGTAATATTACGTTATCACGGACATTCTTGTTTTTTTTGTTCCTTTCAAAGTCATTTTTCTACAAAATTTATCCTATCACTTTATCATTTCTTATATTATTTTTATAAATTACAAATATTTTTGTTTATTTGTTTTGTTGTTTAACTTTGTTGTTAAATATTATATATAAATCAATAATATTCCACAATACCTTGATAGGTAATGAAATAATTATATAAATTATATATAAAATA